ACGACATGCACTAAACTAAGGACACGGGATTTACTACAATAGATCAAATTACTGGTCGCAGTGGTGTTATGTCCCGAACAGAGGAAAAAAAAAATCGATAAAAGTACAATGGATCATTTTAGGCGTACTTCGACGACTCTTACACCAGTAACTGAGGGTTTGAAACGGGGAGCGGTGAATGTCGACAAAAAAAAAACAATACCAAACCATTGATTTCGAAGTTTAAAAGTGTTGGCCTAGATTTAGTATTCAGCAGCAGGACATATCAGCTGAAGTTAGGATCGACAAACGATTCAATAAATGTCTTAGGGAAAGCCGGAGTCTACAACATCTCTTGTCCAGATTGCAATAAAATCCACATTGGTGAAACGAAAAGGACTTTGGAAACAAGGTTTAAGGAACAAACCGCAGAGGTAAAAAAGGCTAACCAAGAGATGGATAAAAGACTTCATTGTGAATTTAAATCCAAGGTTGCAGGGACCAACTTTCCCTTCCGAAGGAAGACGTGATCAGATATTTTATGCCCCAGAAAATCCCGACGGCACCGACTGGGATTGAACCCAGGCATTTTGGGGTGAGAGGCAATCACGCTTACCACTACACTACCGGCGCCACTAGAGACTTTCGTAGATGTCCAGATTTTTTTGTGGAAATTACAAGATTTTTAAGACCGTTCCATTAATTTATGGGCAGCATCAATTATTTCCGGAGACTGTTCTCGCAAGTCTCCGGAAATAATTGATGCTGCATAGTTTCGAGAAAATCAGGGACAATCAGAGAGCCTCTAGGCAGTTAATTCAATCTCAAGGGAATTGTAGGAACTTTACGGAAGTTTGAAGAAACTCAGGGAATTTCTGCAACTTCAGCAAAGTTTTGGTATCTTTAGGAAAGTCCACATAACTTCAGAGAAGTTTACAGATTTTTAAGCAGTTTCATTATTCACAGGGATATTTAGAGAATTTCAAGGTAGATCAGTAAACTTCAGAGCAGTTCAATTAGTTAATTGCAGGAACTTTCAAGAAGTTCTAAGAATTATGAACCGTTCCAAGAATGTCGGGAATGTTCCACACAATTATTCTGGTAATTTGCAGGGTCTTGAACGATGATCCATGGATGTCTGGAAAATTGTTGGAATGCTAAGTTAAGAAAATTCCAATGAAGTTTTGAAGCTCATGTATCGAAAACTTCTGGAAAGTTGCGGGAACTTTTGATATTCAGAGCTCTTCAGGGCAGTTCCACTTACTTCAAGTAACCTCCGAAAACCTCAGAAAAATATTGATTTGAGAGGAAGTTTAAAGATCTTGAAGAATTAGTAATTTTTAATCGGCTCAGAAAGACGTCTTCAATTAAAAATTTAGATTACAGTTTCACCATCGTCAACGTTTGGATCCAACGGTTGGAATTTTCATCAGGGATATTTTTATTTTTTTTTTTCTTCTCTATATCGTTATTAAGGAGACTTTCAACCCTAGGCTGGTTCGTCTCCGGTCATAGTTTTAGTTCTAGGTCGTTAAGATTTTAGCGCTCAAAGAAAAACGGGACAACTTTATATCCCCTGAAGATGGCTAAGTTCAAGGACCGAAACGTCGGACATAAAACCTTGTTTATCCATCGTAAAACATTCCAAAATTCTGGACGTTCCTTAAAGAGAGCACTGAGGCATTGAAGTTTATATGGGAATTACTATGGGCAAGGGAACTTTTAGTTCTTCTAGTAATAACTTTTTGCAACTTTGCTGAAGTTCAGATCCGATATCTTTCTGATATGATCAATTCGACAGTGAGCATTAGACTGATGAAAAATTTGAAATTTTCGCTCCACAGTGTTCAAACGGTTTCAAATCGGGTCCGGATTAGCCTCCGAAAGTTTAAACTGATTTGATAAGCAACTGACTTGGCACAAACCATTTGAAGTTAATATGGAAATTACTATGGGAAAACAAAACTTTTTGTTCATTGTCTTATAGGTTTTTTACATATTGTACTGTTAACAAATTCTATTGCTATTCTTATGGGAATTTTTATCAGCCATAACTTTGCAGAAAATCGTTTTTCAACCAAACGTCAAATTAAATAGTTATTAATTGTTTGAGAGATTGATAATCTTATGGCAAGATTAAGCAACTGTATTATGCAGTGTGACATAGTAGCCATGATTTTTTGTCCTCTATTCTACGCGCCATAAACACCAATGTTGCCTAATGAACATTTGATTGAGCATAATCATAAGACATCAGTTACTTGAATCATTAATATTTTTTGTTCCTTACATTTGATCGAAAAGTAGTCTTTAACAAACTTGTAGCTGAGAAAATTTTCAGCAAGCTCAGCTATTATTTTTTAAAGTAGAGTGAACTGGTGAATTTTGAGATAGATATGAACCGAAATTGTGGTTTCTCTATAGTAATTCCCATGTAAACTTCAAATGGTTTGTGCCAAGTCAGTTTCTCACTAAATGAGTTCAAATTTTGGGAGGCTAATTAGGGCCCAATTTGGAACCATTTGAGCACTGTGGAGAGAAAATTTCCAATTTTGCATCATTCTAGTGAGCATGCATAAGGGCGTAAACGCGATGATCGATTCCCTTCGTGGATTTTCTCTATTGTTCTTAACTCGCTAGAAATAACGTTTCTCGGTGCGTTTGCTGTTGCTTTTGATAGACAATACAACCTGTTACAACTCTTCATTGAACAAATTCTAGAAAATTGTTTCGCTTAGCTGTAGCAATGCAAATATAAAATCGATGAAGAGAATCGATCATCGCGTATACGCCCTTATGCGTGCTCTCTGTCGAATTGGTTGTTTTCAGGGCAACACTGCATTTTACACTATGGAATAAAAGCTTAGGTTTGTTTGTCCTATTTTTCGCTGCAAGTACAACAATGTTGCCTGCTGAGCAGTTGATGGGGCATGTCAGATGGATATCATCTTCCTAATTAATTAATAACTAATTCTCTTGACGTTCAACAAAGTTGTAGATGAAAATATTTACTGTAATTACAAATAGCAAGCTTTCAGGTAAATCATTATGGCGAAAGGTTAGGACGATAGAACAAAAAGTTAACTTTTCCGATAGTAATACCCATATAAACTTCAAAGGGACATAAATATATTGTTTAATTCAAATCCAAATATCTCAATATACCGCTGAGATATTTTGTGGAATTATAATTTGTTTTATGTACATTTTGAAAAAAATATGACACTGTAACTTTAGTTAGGAAAAGTAGACCATTATGTTGTTCAAAACAGTGCCGAAAAGTAAAACCACAGTTATGTTGGGCCACCCTATTGAACACATCACTCATACTATGCTTACCTGTGGTCCCTCTGCCACATCTGGAAGGTACGATTCGCGCATTCCAGTCCAGAGCAGAGTGCGGGTGTGCGCAAGGCCGATAAATGAGATACATAGACAGAAAACGAAATCAGCTGCGGCACTATCTGTGTTGTAGGCCGCCTTCGACTGATTTTCCTGGTTGGAAGTGTGCTACTGTGTTTGTTGTTATTCTTGGTATGACAGTACAAGGGCATGCACAGGCTGAACGAATTCGTTTTGTTGGACATCTGACCGAAGATTTCAACTTCTTGCCTCGTTTGTGGGGATTGTTTAAATTTCCCAAAATGGAAAAGTGGGTCAAACGTGGGGTTCTGCACAGAATTTTACCTATTGTGTGGAAGATCACTTATTTGGTGATGTTTTCGAAACCTTTGCGGGCATAGCAGAAGCGTAGCGTGACTCGGCAACACCCGGGGCGGAACGTTTGAACGTCACCTTTTAACTTTCAACCGCAAAATTGTTACTTATCAATTATAGGGTGGTATTTTAGGGGAAGTTCACCGCTCCGAAAAAAATAATTACGTTTTGATTTTTATAAAAATATTGGGAAAGATATCGGGGCAGCCAGTCGGGCATGGTCGTCACTCAGTCTCTCGTCCGTGAAGACACTAGCAAATTTTTCAGAGCTGACATATATCTTGCGCAGATGAAGCCACGTTACCATAATGTATCATGACCAACTTCATGACGTTGTTCGTTGACCAACTTCCAAAACTGCTTGGGACGTGGCTTAAGCTTTCTCTGCAATCCACGTCAGAAGCACCGTTTTGCAACTCGTTTTTATTCGTGATTAATCCTGACATAGTGACGTCAAAAGAAGCACACCTAGCGATTCCTTTTTCATTCTGCCTTTGTACGTATGGAAAAGTAAATAAATTTAGAAGCCATTGTTAGTAGAAATATTCCGTTTCTGTTCAAATCTGTTCGAAAAAAGGGCGTAAAAGAGCGGATTAGAGTGACGGAAATAAGATCTTAACCCTCCTGTGTAAGTGCTTAAGTCATTTAAAATATGGTTCAATGTTTGAAATTCTGAAGCATACATTTTAACGCCTAATGTTTAATTCATATTTTGTACTGTTGAGCTAGTGACATTTTGAACCATTAGCTTAATTGGCCCCCATCCGACCTACCTTATTAGAATGCACCTGCACACGCCATTGTCTTCAAGGTGAGGTCACAGCAAAAGGTAACCCTTCTCTAATGAAGCTCTGTTATGAATGGCCACAACGACTACTAAATAAAATCTCGACACAACCCATGACGACCGCCGGCTACTACATTCCTACACGACCGTGCAATCTTACCCACTGGCAGAGTAAATTTGCACTGCTGTCTCTTTTCTCTCACGGAAATAGTAATCAGTTTTCATAATAACTGGGGTAGCTCAGAGCGATTAGCAGCCCTAGTTTTTATCACAACTGACTAATACTTCCGTGAGAAACAAAGAGATAGCAGTTCAAATTTACTCAGTCAATGGGTAAGATTGAACGGCCGTGTACGTACCTACCAGAGGCACTTCGACGCACAGGTCATTGGGCAAACCCAACGCGCGCCGCTCTGCTCATGGCTGTTGTTCTTCTGCCTGCCTTGGTTCGTTTGCTGATGTTGACGATGAGCCATGCCATGTCTATTTGCTACTTTGTTCTATCGTTCGCGCGCAGGTTATTGTAGGAAGGAACCCCCATCAGCAGCGACCGCGACCGGAGCTAGCTACTACCCTACGTCAACAACCGGCTCAAAATTCAAGTCGAGTGTATGGAAGTGTGTTCGGGTAAAGCAACAAACCGTCAGGTAGTGTGTTGGTGACTTAATTGCACGGTGCCGTGGACTTTGTTGACAGTCTCGAACGTCTCAACGACGAAGGCAGCGTGAGCGGTAGTAGGAGACCGACCAGCGCTGCCATTTATACAGATTTATCTGTATTATACAGATTTTTTAATCTTAATACAGACCCGATACAGAATACAGATTTATCACAGATTTTTAAATTACAATACAGATTTATACAGATTTTTATAAAATGCTTGAGAAAAAAAATCTATATCAAAATAAGTTATCAAGCAGTTCTCACTAATATCAATATATGTTATAATTTTGATATTCTTCGCATATCTTTCACCTCTCATTTTTGTTCTGTTAGCCATCAACTCCATCAAAATGAAATCAATTTGAGTTATCAGGAATAATGAAAACAACATAATTCTTGTTTTCATTTTGTTCTCACCCTCTGCTCGGGAACCTATCAAATTTCCATCGACAATTAATCATGTTATGGTGTTTTTGACAGCATTCACAACCAGAGGACCAACCGCTTTCGGATGCATATGGAGCTGGTAGTAAACGGTTTGAGATTGTATGGGGATTTACAGTATTAATGGAATATTTCCAATATAAGCATGTATGTTAAATACAAGAAAAGTGCCCGAGCACATTAAAATGGTACAAATACAAGTACTCGTAAACATTTTACTTGCATTGCAAATGTATTTCGTAAGAAATTGCGGATTTTCTGATATTCTCCATACTGCAAAAATGATTTTACCAGCACTGGCGGGGCGACATCTCTCGACTTTTCGGTGTAACTACCACACAAATGATGTAATTAATTGTATTCATCTATATTAAAAATATCAAATAGTAATGAACTCGTGCACTTTTTTGCATTTAAAACTGCTTATCAGGAAGATAATGAATAGAAACTAAAATCTCCATACATTTTCAAACGGCTTCATATCACTCTTATAAATAAGTACGGACGATATCACAAATGGCGCAATTATATCCCGTATGGTTAGCACGATAGCCCGAATAGGTGGTTAAGCACTTTTTATGGTTATTTTGTATGCACTGTATTTGTAAAACAACAAAACATGATTAATTAAGAAAAAAAATCGTCAATACAGAAAATACAGATTTTTTAATAGAGTGGATACAGATTTTTTATAAAACCACCTGGCAGCTCTGAGACCGACTCTCGAAGCACATCGCCGCACCGGTCGAGCTGCGAGGGTGTTTGAGTTTCAGTATTTTTTTTTATATTGTGACCATTGACCGGTGTGCAAATTTAAAATGCATTCACGTGTTCGGACCAAACTGTTGGTGAAGATTGCTGTGTTAATTGTTTTGACCAACGGTACCGCGGCGGTGGGAGCTGATGCGTCGCCTAGCAGTACCGTTAGTGGTGGGGAAAATGCGACTGGATCAACGAAATTGCCGAAAGTGACGAGTTTGACGGAGGTGCCGGCTGACACAACGATTGTTCCGGCTTTGAAGACAACGGAACAAAGTACGACGGAACAAGTGACCACGTTAAGTGCGGAGGAAATTAGTCAGAGTCCTACTACAACTGGTAGTTCGACATTAACACCGGATGAGGGTGCCACCGGGCAAGAACAGTTACCGAACTGTTCGAAATTTGAGGTGAGTTGAGTTTGTCACACTGACTGACGAAAGGTTTTGTTTGCAATAAGTAGGTTGATGCAAGATTGGTCGGGGAATGTTTTAATCTTTTGCACCCAGGGAAGCGCATGGCGTGCGAGGAATATTTTATGAGTGAATCACGTATCCTACGGAGAGAGAGAGAGAGAGAGAGAGAGAGAGAGAGAGAGAGAGAGTGAATGACGTTGTCGAAGCGATGTGGGGGATTCATTTTGAATGTAATGTATGTATCTTTTCAGCTGAACGCAATTATAAACAACTGCATGTTAACGGGATATCTAAGTGAATTATCGGTGATAGGAACTGAGGGAAATAATTGGGGGCAAACTTTTGATGGAAAGTTGTATAATTGTAAGCTGTAAAGCTGCTTGACTAAGTAAAAAGGTGTTGGAGCAGTAAAGGATAGTTTTGCCAGGATGTAGATTAATTTTACCCTCTTTTTTAACCCTTGGCTGCTAATAGGGTTAACTACCCCATTTCCCGCCTATTAAGCACAACCCGCATTTAGTCTTTCTTAATCTAGCGCAGTTTAGCACCAAACAGAATGTTATTATTACTCATGGCTTCCAAATTTATTTACCTTTCCGTACGTACCATAAGATTTGATAAAAAGAAACCAATCGTTGAGATATTGTCAAAAGTCTAACACTGCTTCTTGACGCCAAACTTGAATTCTAAACTCGGCCTAACGCACAGTGGTTTAAAAGTGCAAATTCGTGAACTTAATTGTTTTCTGAGATGTACGTACGTTTTAGCATTAAGGTGTCTTCAGAAGATTTTCATAGTTCTGGATTCCGCACCTTTTGGAATGTTCACCTTAATTTTTCTTAAGGTGCAACTGCACTTCAAAAAACTAACTTTTTTATATTAACAGATATCGAGATGATGTCTTGTACAAATTTGTAGGGCTTTCAATTTCAAGAAACTTTGCTGCAGACATCAAGTTGCCATGACTTCATTGTATGAAGATATAAGAGATTATTTGCCAGTTGCACCTTAAAATCAGTTGTTTGAGTTTTTCTATGTCTTATTCACGTTTTATCTCTTTGGTGTATTCTGCAAAGTTTTAGATAATATCTAAAAACACAACTTTTCTCAAGACACCAAAGTGCAATGATTTGATTGGCGAGAGATACAGTGATTTTTAAGCAAAAAATCACCCTTTTTCAAAAAGCTATAACTAAGCTGGCCGCAAATTGCCGCACTTGCAACAAGTTTCATTTGAAAGCTCAGAATTATATACAACTTTGCAGAATACACCAAAGAGATAAAACGTGAATAAGACATAGAAAAACTCAAACAACTGATTTTAAGGTGCAACTGGCAAATAATCTCTTATATCTTCATACAATGAAGTCATGGCAACTTGATGTCTTCAGCAAAGTTTCTTGAAATTAAAAGCCCTACAACTTTGTAGAAGACATCATCTCGATATCTGTTAATATAAAAAAGTTAGTTTTTTGAAGTGCAGTTGCACCTTAAGAAAAATTAAGGTGAACATTCCAAAAGGTGCGGAATCCAGAACTATGAAAATCTTCTGAAGACACCTTAATGCTAAAACGTACGTACATCTCAGAAAACAATTAAGTTCACGAATTTGCACTTTAAACCACTGTGTAACGCATTGAAACGCCAATGAATTCACTTCGGCCTATCGGATGAAGATAAAAATTGATTCCGTCGGAGCACTTCTTTTGTTTTTGGGAATTATGGGTGCAAACCTTCATATCACGCGTTCTCATTGACTTCGTTCGGTAGTTTATTAGCTAAAGTATCGTACCAAACGCATAATTGACTTGTTAACTCTGAAATTATGGATTTTTTTGTAGTTTTCTGCTCGATATGCAAAAAATAGGCGATTAGGCCGATGTAGTTCTCTACCCTACTTATTTCGGAATTATGAATTATCGTTATTATCTTTTATCTTTTTTCTACCATGTTGTTTAACTGGTTCGATCCCACGCACAGTGAGGCGATTCCATACAAAAATTGAACGTAATGAAAAAAAATGTTCATCATTGTACATCATTGTCATCAAACAGGCAATACCAGCGTTCTAGCTTGCCTGTCTTGATGACCCACTGTAATCGCCTAACAAAAACTATCCAAGCCAGGATGGTGAACCTTAGAAATCAGAACTTTGCTAACAGGATCCGCTCGCGGATTGTGCAGAACCCTTTTGGAAACTAAACAAAATCCTTAAAAATAAGCCAAGACCCATTCCACCACTGACCCCACTGGATAGTCCCGGCGACTCAGTGGTTCTTCTGATAACACTAGTTTACAAAACAACATAAAAAGTGTGAACTTTAGTGGTTGACCAACGTTTCTAATGCAAAATCCTACGCTGAATTCAATGCCGTGGTCAGAAAAAATTAAAGTAGAGCCATTTTTGAGATATACAAAAATTTTGATTTTTTGAATTTTGGACAAAAGTACGATTACTAAAATGTCAATATCTTTGGAACTAGTGCACCAATTTTAAATCTTTTTTTATGAAAGTGAAGCTAAATAAGTTTGCTATCGTTCACTTCAATATTATTCCTTAATTAAAAAAATAATTTTGAAGTCATATAAAAATTTACAGCATTTCTTTTTATTTTTCCTGCGAATTTTTCATAAAAATCTTGTTTTAATCAACATTTTTAATGGGATAAAAAGATTCAAAAAATCATTCCATAATTTATTCTTAAAGTCCATTAAAAACTGGAGAAAATGAGCCTTTAATGGATGAAATCGGTTGGAAATTGTCGAAGTAATGAATTTTTTTGTAAAATCATGGAAATTGAATGTTCCAAGATTGGCCGTTGTCCCGCTCCTAGGTTCATGCACCACTTTCAGTAAGCCTTTCTGCGGACGTGTACGCATACGGTGCATTTCACTAACACTACCAGCTGTCACGCAAAATTAAATGGGATATTTTCAACAATATAATTTACGCTAGTGTTTGTGAGACCGCTCGGCGAGAACCTAGCGCAACCGACTCAATTTGACAGCTTTCTTTCTTTAACATTGCTTAACGATGTATACGACAAAACGTGAATTCAAGTGTAAAAATGATCCTCAAAAGTTTTGTTACGCGTATGGCAACTATATATTTACAAAATCGGTCAATTTCACTGCTTCGTTGCAAACTGCATGCAGGATTTATTTTAAAATTGATTCTGGAGACTTTGACGAACCGTGGATTCCAAAAATATTATGTAGTTCGTGCAAAACGTGCTTGGCTAGGTGGATGTCAGGCGCAAGGTAAATTGATTTTTTGAATAACTTTCATATAAACAATTTATGTACAGCATGGTAGTGCTTTGTTCTTTCCTGATCGACATTATCTTACTTCATCTATTTTTGATAAGTGTTAATGTCTTACTTACTAACTCACTTATTTGTTATCTGTCAGTCGCTATTTGTCCTTTGACATGCCCACCATATGGCGTCGACCGTTTTGTCATGCAACGGATTGTTATTTCTGCTTGACAAAAGTTAAGCAACAAGGACGTCACAAAACAGTTGAGTATCCATAAGTGGCTTCTTTGACAAAACCTGTTCCACATTCAAGTTCGGTCCCGTATCCTGTTTATCCAAAGCGGAAACGAGCGCCCTCTGTTGAATCGACCGTTACAAAAAGTGAGGAGGAATTCAAGGAGGAATGCGAGGAAGACTTCGAGGTGGAATTGGAAAGAAACCCAAAACTGTTTACACAATCCGAATATCGACTTATCGAAGGAGAAATCCGAATTGCTGGCATCACGCTTGAAAGAACACAACATGCTGAGCAAGGAGGTCAAAATTTCTTGTCACAGGAATCGTCACAAGAAATTTGACAAATATTATTCTACAAAGGACAAGGCATGTTTTTGCCATGACGTAAACGGCTTGTTTGAAGAGTTTGGTGAGCCATATGATCCAGCTGAATGGCGTTTATTCATCGATAGCAGCAAGTTGAGCTTGAAAGCCGTTTTACTGCATCAAGGGAATGAGAAACCTTCTATTCCATTAGCTCATGCCGTTAATATGAAGGAAACGTATGAATCAATGGCTCTATTGCTCAATTTGATAAATTACAATCAACACAATTGGAAAATTTGTTCCGATCTTAAAGTGGTTGCCATGTTGACTGGATTGCAACAGGGATACACAAAATATATGTGTTTTTTGTGTAAATGGGACAGTCGAGCTCGTAAGGAACACTACGTCCGAAAAGATTGGCCAAAACGGGATTATTTCACAATTGGTAAAGACAACGTTAAAAATGATCCTCTTGTGGTAAAAGAACGCATAATACTTCCACCACTACATATAAAACTTGGGCTATTCAAAAATTTCGTCAAAGCGTTGCAAAAAGAAGGGCCGGCATTCCAGTACTTGAAATCAGTATTTCCAAATTTATCTGACGCAAAGATAAAGGAAGGTGTATTTGTTGGCCCACAGATCAAAAAACTGCTCAATGATTCCGCATTCAATACAGTTTTGACACCAGATGAGGAAGAAGCGTGGAAATCGTTCCAGCGTTTTGTCACAACCTTTTTAGGAAATTTCAGAAGCCCAGATTATGAGGAAGCCGTCGATGAATTGCTCAAAAATTATGAGAAAATAGGTATAAATCAAAAATATTGTGTTTGTTACATATAATTAATTTCAAATCCTTTTATTTCACTGAACACAGGTGTGAATATGTTTTTGAAGATACATTTCCTACATTCTCACATGGATTTTTTCCCGAAAAATCTTGGTGACGAGAGTGATGAGCACGGCAAACGTTTTCACCAACAAATGAAGATGATGGAACGTCGTTACCAAGGGTTTTGGGATGAAGCAATGATGGGTGACTATTGTTGGTCTCTGATTCGAAAAACAAGTTCAAAACATCGAAGACAAAGTCATTCGATTCTCAATCATTTTTAATAAAACCTAAATAAATTTCTTTTGCATCAACTCGGTTTTAAATCCTGATATGCCTTAATCAAATTGATATGTAGAGA